ATCCTCCCTGATCTTGCACAGCGTCTGTGTGAGTAGGCTCACTGGGGGGAACACATATTTGTGCAGGCCCCGGGGCCAGCTGTGTGCCAGTGCATCCGTGCCTCGGTTAGGGAGTAGAACCACTCGCACCAGTGGGCCATCCTCTGCTTGGAGACAGCTTTCCCCTTTTGCTGTCCTCCATAATCAACTATCAACGTACTGTCGCAGTGCGCGTACAGGACAGAGCAAAGCCAGGGCTGGGTCTGCCTCCTCCAGGGGCAGTGCTTGCAGGTTCACCACCTGGTCCCTGAAGGGAGTGGTAGGAACCTTGGGCACATAGCCGGGCCAGGGTCTCAGTGTTGCACTGAAGTCAGCTGGCCCAAACTCAAAGCACGATTCGTCGACCGAAAATGCCTGCAGGTCCCCCACCCTCTTGATCGAGGCCAATGCTGTCAGGAGTATGGTTTTCATGGAGAGAAACTTCAACTCAACTGACTCCAAAGGCTCGAAGGGAGCAGTTTGTAGGGCTCTTAGCACCAATGCTAAATCCCAAGAGGGCAAGGAGGGGCGGCTTGGATGATTTAACCTTCTGGCCCCCCTAAGGAACCTGACGACCAGGTTGTGATTCCCCACTGTCCTCCCCTCTATGGGGTCGTGGTGTGCGAAGATAGCAGCAACGTAAACCTTAAGGGTGGAGGGGGACAGCCTACGCTCCAACCCTTGCTGCAAGAATGAAAAGCACGGCTCTGATCGAACATTTCTGGGGGTCCTCTCGGTGAGAGGAACACCATTCGATGAACAGGTTCCACTTCAAAGCATAGGCCCGCCTTGTGGACGGTGCACGTGCTGAAGCGATAGTGAGTGCTACCTCCTGGGGTAGGTCACCTAGAACCTTCGCGTCCCATCGAGGGACCACACATGAAGTTTCCACAGGTCCGGATGTGGGTGCCCCATCTCTGAGAAAGCAGATCCTTCCTCAGAGGAATCGGCTGGGGTGGGGGGTTGGGCTATCGCAAGGAGCATGAGTTCCAGGAACCAGGTCCTGTTGGGCCAATATGGAGCCACTAACAAGACCTGCTCTTCATCCTCCCTGATCTTGCACAGCGTCTGTGTGAGTAGGCTCACTGGGGGGAACACATATTTGTGCAGGCCCCGGGGCCAGCTGTGTGCCAGTGCATCCGTGCCTCGGTTAGGGAGTAGAACCACTCGCAGCGGGTGGTTTCTGGAGATGCAAACAGGTCTACCTGAGCAACTCCAAACCGTCTCCAAATCAGCTGAACCGCCTGGGGGGTGGAGTCTCCATTCCCCTGGAAGTGCTGCTCGAGACAGCTCGTCGGCTGCCCGGTTGAACACTCCTGTGATGTGAATGGCACGAAGGGACCTCAGATGCTTCTGACTCCAGAGGAGGAGGTGGTGGGCGAGTTGCGACATGCGACGGGAGCGTAAACCACCTTGCTGGTTGATATATGCAATGGTCACAGTATTGTCCGTGCGGATCAGTACGTCCCTGCCCTGAAGGCACCCTCTGAGGCGGCTCAGGGCAAGGCGCACTGCCAGCAAATCGAGGCAATAGATATGCCAATGCAGTTGACCTAGCCAGCAGGACTGCGATTTCTGCCCGCAAGACAGGGGCATCGACAGCTTTTACTGATGTGAACCGGATGCCCCTGAACTTGGGGGGATGACGGGCGAATTGAATCGCATAGCTGAGTCTGATGGTCCGCAGGAGCCACCAAGACGGACTTTGGAGCGCTAACCAGGCTCAGAGAGACCGTGCCAGTGGAACCAGTGGGGCCACCAATGTACCCGCAGTGAGACTGTGTGGTGGAACACAGGGACCCGGCCCGGGGCCTGTAACGGCCACACCTGTGACGGCAGAGGGCGGGGTCTGGGTATGAAGTGTAACACTCACCTGATCCCTCCTCGTGAGAGGGAGAACGCAGGCCCCCGGCTTGAAGCCTATAACAGCCTGGCGTGTGACAGCATGAAGTGGGGTCTTGAGCATCACAGCACCAACCTGGTTCCACAAATGGGCAGAGGGAGTGCTCCTGGGCAACCCACTGCTGCCCGCTGGTGAAAGAGGAGGATGGAAGTGATCCTGTGATGCACAGTCCACCACTCTCCACCACTCTCCTCCTCTTGAGACCCAGAGACTGAGGAAACTTTTTCTGAAGTTTTGGGTACTGCTGGCTGCTGGGCCAGCGGCGGAACAAAAAAATAAAATGAAACGGAAGATTCTCCACCCGGCCCTCCTCTGGGAGAGGGAGTGGTGAGCAGTCGCCTCCATCTCCAGGTCACCAATCTCAGGGCCTCTTGCACTTGTCACCAGGTTTGTCACCACTCTCCTCCTCTTGAGACCCAGAGACTGAGGAAACTGCTCTTTTTCTGAAGTTTTGGGTACTGCTGGCTGCTGGGCCAGCGGCGGAACAAAAAAATAAAATGAAACAGAAGATTCTCCACCCGGCCCTCCTCTGGGAGAGGGAGTGGTGAGCAGTCGCCTCCATCTCCAGGTCACCAATCTCAGGGCCTCTTGCACTTGTCACCAGGTTTGGCGGGGGCCTGGAAGGACTGGGCGTCCTGCCTACTCCTGGCTCCACGATGCTGCCTGGTGGAAGGCTGCAGCTGCTGCGTGGGAGTGGGGGCGGATGCAGGGGGGCACCCTCGGCAACGAGCAGGCTGAGGGGCTGCGACCGGAGTGGAAGCAGCAGCATGTTTCCTCCGGCACATGATGTCCTTGATCGCCTCAGTCTGCTTCTGTGCCGCCGAGAACTGCTGGGCAAAGCTCTCGACCGCATCGCCGAAAAGGCCGGTCTGTGATACGGGAGCATTCAGGAATTGCATTCTTGACACAGCCAGAGATGGCGCTCCTGGATCATCAAGGTGTACACCACACGACCCAGAGAATGTGCGGTTAGCTTTATCGCTTGGAGCGCAAGGTCCGTCGCAGTATGCAGTTCATCTAGAACCGCCAGGTCATGACCACCCTCGTGCAGGTCCCTCACGGCTTTGGCCTGATGAACCTGCAACAACGCCATGGCGTGAAGGGCAGAGGCCGCCTCCCCACAAGCTCTGTAAGCACTGCCAGATAGACCTGACGAATACTTACAGGCCCGCGAGGGGAGACACGGATCACCCCGCAGAGTGGTAGCGGCCGTAGGACACAGTTGCATGGCCACCGACCGCAGGGAATGCCCGTGTACCCCAAAGTGGCCCCACCATCGAGGGTGGTGAGGGAGGAGGAGCTGCATGATTTGTTTCTGGCAGTAAAAGATGCCTTCCACGAACTTGTGAACTCCTCATGCACTTCCGGGAAGAATGGCACCGGAGGGGGGCGCTGAGAACCAGTGCGAGCCCCACCGACGAACCACTTATCCAGCCTCGAAGGACCGGGATGCAGTGAAGGATTCCACATGAGCCCGACATTCTCGGCGGCCCGGGAAAGCATAACCGTCATCTCTGGGTCTGACTCAGGCAACGCCACTCTCCCCGAAGGGGCCAACGCAGCCGAGTCGTCATCCCCGAAGAGAGAGAGCTCGCCCGCGTGAAGGGCAGAGGCCGCCTCCCCACAAGCTCTGTAAGCACTGCCAGATAGACCTGACGAATACTTACAGGCCCGCAAGGGGAGACACGGATCACCCCGCAGAGTGGTAGCGGCCGTAGGACACAGTTGCATGGCCACCGACCGCAGGGAATGCCCGTGTACCCCAAAGTGGCCCCACCATCGAGGGTGGTGAGGGAGGAGGAGCTGCATGATTTGTTTCTGGCAGTAAAAGGTGCCTTCCACGAACTTGTGAACTCCTCATGCACTTCCGGGAAGAATGGCACCGGAGGGGGGCGCTGAGAACCAGTGCGAGCCCCACCGACGAACCACTTATCCAGCCTCGAAGGACCGGGATGCAGTGAAGGATTCCACACGAGCCCGACATTCTCGGCGGCCCGGGAAAGCATAACCGTCATCTCTGGGTCTGACTCAGGCAACGCCACTCTCCCCGAAGGGGCCAACGCAGCCGAGTCGTCATCCCCGAAGAGAGAGAGCTCGCCCTCCGATGCAGCAATCGACATCTGGTCGTCAGGGGGAGCACCGAAGGATACGGGCGGTACACTCTGTCCTGCAGAGGGCCCAGTGTGCACCTCCGGCAGCTTCACCGGCCTTGGAGCGCTTGAGGGGTGAGGAACTTCCTTTGAAGAAGACGTCACCACAATCCTCAAATCACCTCTGACTCCACCAGAAGCAGCGACGCCCCGGGTGCCGGGACGAACACTGGATCGCTGCAGAGGTAGAGGGACCATCCACGAAAGCTTCCTCAGCGTGCTTAATGCCCAGACACATGAGGCAGCGATCGTGACCATTCTGAGGTGCCAGGTAACAACCACATCCAGAAACGCAGGGGTGATAAGACATCTTTAAAAAGACACGATCACCCATGTTGCTCTTTCAGAGATTGCTCTTTTAGTGCTGAATCATGCAGGGGAGCTGGCCATCGCACGCTGCTGGTGTGGCTGTCTCCATGAAGGATGATCTTTTTTCCCATGAGACTGTGACCACTCGCTTGCAATCACTCAAAGGAAGGGAGAGCAGTAGTGATGCACCACCACTCGGCTCCAAAGCGAAAAGATGAATGATTGCGTTGCGCCTGCTGCCTCTTATACCCGCGCTACGGGGTGTGGCAGCCAGATGCGAATTCTGCATGCCAATCTCCATTGGCTCGTTTAGTTACACTCAAAGTGGATTGGTCTCTCTGGCGAGATTCCTAATTCGTCATTCACCGACGTGACGTCGAGAGTGACCGACTGAAAGGAAACAAAAAATTGTTCTCCTATGGCATTCCTGCAAAACCTCGTTTTTGGAACATTTATTTTTAAGAGTGAAATTAATAATTTAGCATACAATAAATGTCAATAAATTTCACAGTGTGAATCTCTGGCTCTCTGTAGATTCACTACAAATTTTCCCCAAGTTTGTGTATTATCAGTATGACAACTCATATCCAGCGCTGCCCACATGTGCTGTGTGTTCACAGTTTCCGTCCACTGCCTGTGTACGACACTCTGAGGAGCCCTCGGCTCCTCTCTTCCCCTCGCTTCATTCCAGTCCTCTGAATCCACAGAGGAAACCACTTCAGCCGACTCACACACACACTCACACACAATCAGAGGCAGAGAACACAGCTGACTCAGACTCAGGAAATACAGCCACCTGCCACTCAGCAGTGCTGGCCATGAGAGCAATGCTCCAGCGCCTCCAGAGGGTGGAAGAGGAGATTAGCCAGGTGAACAACCACCATCTTCCTTCTGGTCTTGTATGTGTATTATAAGTAGGGCTCCTCAAGTTTTGAGATATGCTCAAATATGTATTTAACTACATCATTAAATTTATTGAATGCAAGTGGAACATTCTTTATAAAGGGTGCCGCATTTGTCCTTCATTAACATGGACATAAAAGCTAGTATTTTGTCTTTATTCTTTCTGTCAATATTTAGTAAACAAATATATTATTTAAAAAGTATTTTTCCCAGGATTAGTGTCAACCCTGTTATCATCATAATAATATCTTATTAAAGTAACATACTGTCCACAATTACATTATTGTACCTTAAAGTAGTAATTGTCCCTTTTTATCACTACATTTTGCTTGTCAGGAAACAGATCTTAAAATATCAACCCTGTTACCATGAGTTTTTTAGTCAAGAATTTATTATTAAAAACAGGATCATTAAATTCTATTTTTAATGTCAATAATAATATATGAATAGTAAAACCAGTCTACCCTGTAACTATTACATTTTCTAAAGGAATAGTAACATCCCAACCTATATTGGGTTTTTACTTTGCCTGAAATGGCGCAGTGCTATTTATTATTACTTAAAATATATTATTTTTCTAGACAGAATGTCTACAAGCTAACAGAAAGGCATTTAATTTCTCTTTTCAAAGTGGAAAATGCACCCATTTCATAGAATGTCCCATTTAATGCATTTACCTCTTTTGACATTAAAACTATTTCATTCTGTTCTGTCTTCTTTCTAAAGACTGAGCTATTAATAGCTGTTCAATAGAATATTTATTTATAAATAAATTCCAGATGAGATCTTTAGCAAAAATACATTCCTGAATTATGAAAAATAATGTTACTTATTGTTTGAGAATATGTATGTTTAGAGGCAATTTCAACCAATTTAAAATTAAAATAATCAAGTTAACAGCATTAAAAAGCATGACATTAATCGCAATTCTATTTACAAGTAATAAATGTCAAGCACATTAGTGGACAGGGATCTAACCACAGATTTTCCTGTTCACCACAGACTCAGTCTTTATTCTCTTCCACTTTTTTCTTGCTGTTTTCTTTCTACCGGCTTCACTCAGAGGAAAGCCCAGACTCAAAAGGCCAGGGAGTTTCATAAAAAAAGCATAAAGGAGAAGGCTGTGCATTTGTGCGCTCTGTTCTCTGGCGAGGCCTGCTCTCCACATCAGGTGACTATGTTACTGCGTGTGTTGGCTTTCCTCACTCAGCCGCTGTTGCATGCCCTGCGGTTTTGGCCTGTGATCACTGAGTGACTGAGCATCGTTTCATGCACCTGCAGTCTTTGCAGATATCATCACATACTGAGTAATTAATTCCCTGAACCCCCACTCAGCCATAATTGGTTAATAATCTGTCTAGCAGAACAGATGTGGGTCAGCTGAGGACATACTCCAGTGCTCGGTACATTCAAATGACCTGTTTTACTTGAAAAGAGTTAATAAAGTCAAAGAATGCCAGTGGACATCATAACATATTAGATGCTATTTGGTTGTTCTTTGAAGACATTTTTGGAATAAAGTTTTCTCTCAATTCTAAGAGGGCTGGTGACATTCACATGGCTCTCTTAGTCTTATAAAGGGGTCTTGGCTGCTCAGGGGTCCTGTAAGCGTTTAAATTGATCTCTCAGACTGGAAAAGCAGCTTCTTTGCTTTTTTACTGAGTCAGCTGAGGACATACTCCAGTGCTCGGTACATTCAAATGACCTGTTTTACTTGAAAAGAGTTAATAAAGTCAAAGAATGCCAGTGGACATCATAACATATTAGATACTATTTGGTTGTTCTTTGAAGACATTTTTGGAATAAAGTTTTTCTAAGAGGGCTGGTGACATTCACATGGCTCTCTTAGTCTTATAAAGGGGTCTTGGCTGCTCAGGGGTCCTGTAAGCGTTTAAATTGATCTCTCAGACTGGAAAAGCAGCTTCTTTGCTTTTTTACTGCACGCATAAGGAGAAACCATCAGTCCAGGTGTCCACAGATGATTCAAACATCCTCATTCTCTGTGCATTTATTATATTTCCTAGCAGTACGATGTGCTTCTGTGAGAAAATGCAGTGGGCGAAAAAAAACAAACAAGTTCATTAGATAACAAAAAAATCATCTATCTGCAAAAACTGATGCTAGTTCTTCTCTCAGTATGTGTAAATTGCTCTCTCTGGCTTCATACTGTAACACGCATGTTCTGGGTTTTGTCATCCATCATTAAAGTGCGGGCCAGACACTCCTCCTTGTAATTTCTATGAACCAGTTGAGTATATTTAGCTTTTGAAAACATTCCAAAGAGTGAGTAACATATGTTGAACAGTCCTTTAGAGCCTTCAAACAACTGCTAAATCTGAATGAATAATTTGAACATTTTCCACAAGGAACTTAAGTTACATAAATAACATCATTTATGTTGCAGGTTTCCTGATTTTGCACAAAGCAGTATATTTTTATATGTAGCCATAGGAAATAAAAAAACACAAATGAGGTCTCTTTCATATCTAAGTTGTGTCAGGCAGAAATAAGGGCAAATAAAGAGCAAATAGAGCAAGAATTAAAGGGATAGTTCAATCAATTACTGTCATCAGTTACCCTCATGTAGTTCCATAAGCCCTGTGAGACTTTTGTTCATCTTTGAAACACAAATGAACATACAGTACTAATATATTTTTTATGAAACCTGAGATATTTCTGTCCCTCCATTGAAATTCCATGCAACCAAAACTTTAATGCTTAAAAATTAATAAAGTAATTATACTCCATAATTCATCCATAGTTTAATCAAAGTTTTCTGAAAAGAAGCAATCACTTTATGATGAATGTTTGAGCTTCCTCAATGTGATTTGTTCTCATGTATCAATGAAGTGCTGTTGAGTATCAATTTACCATATTTGATGTGCTCTGTATAAAAAGCATTAAACATTTAATGGAATGGACTTTCAGTGGAGGGACAGAAAGTTTCAGAAGAGATCACAACATCTCAAACTTTGCTTAAAGCAAAGTCTGCAATTAAAATTCAATATTAAAAGACCTTAATATATACTCAAACATGTCTTATCAAATACTCTAAAACCACATTTTCTGCAGCTATCCATAATTCACTGCTCATCTCATTTATGTCTATTTTTGTGTTTATTTTTACCATGGATTTTCTGGAGAAACATCAGAGATAAAGTTCTTTACTATCAGTTAAACATAACTAAATCCTAAGAACTCAGGCCTCCTGAGATTTAAAAGAGCAACATTTGAGCAATACATTTTACTTTGAGTAATGAGTATCCTATAATCCAATTTTCTCAGTTCTGAATGTTCGTGCTATCTCTGTTCTGGACAGACTGACTCCTCTGCTGTCTAACCTTCCAATCCATCTCCACATTAACCCCACCACACCCAATCCCAGAATGCATTGCTGCTCCCTACAGTACGTCCTCCCATGTCCTCTCCTAATCTTGACTCCTGTCCTCTGACAGTGCCTGCCATTACTTACACATGCACTTCTTTCCATCTCTAATACCACTTAACACTCCTAATACTGCTTGCCCATTTAACAGCCTTTAATGAACCATCATCAATTCATGTCCTCCTCATGCTCTTTCCTCTGCTCCTAATAAGACGGATATACCTCAGACTGGGAAGCTAGACATGCAGCTTTGTGAAGAGAAGAGAGAATCAGTGCAAAGCTCAAAGGTGCTTTTTTTCTGAGACATTTACAAATATGATATAGATTTCATTAGTGCCTGTCCACTTTTTCAGCAGCATTGTTCCAGAAGTATTTCTACCATTCATTTTCCAATAAGGATTTTAAAGTCTTTGTTATAAGCCATGAACCAAGCCAACCAGCTACAAGGTGAATCACAACATCACAAACTTTTATTTGAAGTAAAAAAGAATTTGAAAATTAGCAAGATCTACTCCACAGAGTTCTTTTGGTGCAATTTGCTCACCACAGCTCTCTGATTGGTGGAATCTTCTGTACAGAATCATGGGTAATGTAGTTTTTCATCATGAATTCCACTGATAAACTTGATTATTTTAAAAATCAATTGAAATAATGCGAACAGATGGCTTGTCAGATGTACTGTCAATTAGCAACCTCAGAGCTCACAAATGGTCTGTATTTAAAGGTTTATAAGTAGTTAAAAATACATTTTCCTATAGAGAAAATGAATTAGTTTTTATTTCTGGAACCCGACTGTTGCACTTGATTAGCGTTACACAGAAAATTTAAGCAAAAGTCAATGTTATTTATTTTCATATGTGTTTCCACAGATATGTAGGCAAGACAGAATACAATAGCCAGTATTGCTATGTATAAAAAATATGCATAATATGCAGAGATATCAATAATAAAAAATAATAAAATTAAAATTAAAATAACAAAACAATAAAACGACAGAGCCATTGATTAGCTTAAAGTAACTTGTACAAGATCAAATTGTGTTGAGTGACACTGGGATCACAGATTTTTTTAAAAATTATTTATTATTTTAATCCAGTCAAATCAGATCCTCGGCACGTCTCTACCAAAGAAAATCAGCATTTTGAAAGCTCAGATAAAAGAATCTGATCATCACCTTGAAGGTCTTCTTCAACCCTTCCATTTTGCTATTAAACTTGCTCCAATTCTCTCTCTTCATGACTTGTGTCTGTGCAGCCTCATTCTTCATCTCTCCATTTCCTTCATTCCATCCCATTGACCACCCCTTCATGCCCTCTCCCACAATGCACTTCCTGTCCTCCTCCACTCATTTCATCCTATCCCTCTCTGCTGTTGCAGCAGGTAAGGGCACGTGCAAATTTTACACTCTGTCCCAGTCTGCTGAATCTAATTCTTACTTTTTCTCCTCTTCCACTGGCATCCATTTGGTTAAGGTGTCTAAAACCAAACCATTACATGTGAAGCACTTTATTAAGGAGATACAGGGAGAAACAGTGAGTTCTTCCCATCTGGTGAGTGTTCCCTCGTCGCTCAGCTAAGTTAGGAAATATAATTACAGTGGAGAGGGATTTAGCGTAAGTGTTTTGGCATCTGGCATGCTGGAGGTCACCGGCTTAGGCAATCTTCTAAATAATTGTAGGTTAGTTATCATTACTGTATACTCAGAGTGCGGCTTTATGACATATTGAATGGGATTTAATATGTGGTTGCAGTTAAGCAGTCGCAGAACGTCTCATTTTAGGCATCAGAGCGAAACCCAGATCCCCCAGTCAGAGGAAAACAGAAACTTTAACGTACCTGATAAGGTATCATGGCACCATCTAAACTTGCTGTTATGCGTTTTCTGTGACTAAACATATTTGGAAAGTGAAACCAACATGTTTGCATGTCATATAGACAGTGTTTCTGTTATTTCAAGGTATGAAAAAATATATTTTTCCACTGTATAGAGTTAAACACCTAATGAAATGATTACTTTTGAAAAAATAGGCAGTTTAAGATACTTAATTGGTGGTGTAAAGAAGTTGTTCCACACATAAGAGCATTCTAAAAAATTAATTAATCTCAAGTTCCAAATGTGTCTGTGGATATAGGGTATTTTCTTAGAGTGGTTAGAGCGTTTGAGCAATCTCCAGATTTAAATAGCAATTTAATGTTATTCTATGTAACATATAATCAAAATCTTTATTTCCCTGTTGTCTAATCTGTCTCTCCATCTCTGCTCTGAACAGACCAGTTCTTCCACTATCCATCCTCATCAATCTAACTCCATAACATTTCACCCCGTCCCAGAATGCACTGCTCCACTCCATCTTTCCTTTACATTCTGCTCTGCTTCCTCTTTAAGGTATAGCAGTGGTTTTAACTTTAACACTCTTCCTGCCTTTCAGAGTCATTTCTTGTTAACATACAGTATCATATATATCATCACTCTGCTCATGTCTCTTTTAAAGCAGTAAATTAAAGCCAGAAATACTTTATGGCATAAACATGCAAGAAGAAGCAAAGTGTAACTCAGAAATGGTGAGTGGTTGTCAAGAAAATTGTTTGATTCATTGATTGAAAGTGAAATATGCACCCACTAATTAAACTGCTTTTGTTTTTTAATCACCCTCACGTTGTTCCAAACCTGTCCATGGAAGAAATATCTCACTTGTCTCATAGTTGAATGCTACAGGGCTAGTTTGAATATGTGGATGTGCAAATGAGATTTGAGAGTTTCAATGACTTCTGATTTGGTCTGTAACTCACACAAAGCTATCGTATCAGCTTCAAAATATTTGAAATACACTGAAAAATCATTGGTGTAAGAATGACCTTAAAACAATATTCGCTTGCTAGTAAATGTCACAAATAATTACAAAGAAACAGCAAGTGATATATTGAATAAACATAAAATGTTGAATTTTGACATTTAAAATAGTATTTTCTTGTGAAACGTACTCCATTAATCTGTTTTAAATATTTTACAGTGTATGGTACAAGTCATATAGACAGCTTTTTATGGTATTTTGTGATTTTTTTTTTTTATAGTATAATTTTTTTTTTAGCTTGAAAGACCAAATAAAACAAGAATGCTTTTTTTTTTTTTTTTTTAAAGAAATTGCTTGGGAATTTCTCCTTTTGAGTTCCATGGAAAAATAAGTCATACAGGTTTGGAAGAATATGGGGATAAATACATTTTCATTTTTGGGTAAGCATTTCATTTAACTTAACCAAAGATGATCATAACATTTGCTGCAATAAACTCTCAAATCTACATTTTCAGTCTGCAACCAGCAGTAGCACAACATCCTTTACTGTAAGAAAACAAACAGATGTTCCTCAGTCAAATGGAGACTCATATGCTCCCAAACAGGTATATGACCATATCTGTGGAATGACTCTTATCCACAATCTCCCAGGACTCGCATGATGTGCAGTCTGTCTGGAATGAGTCTTCTGTGATATTGTTGGCATGTTGTAGGCAGGACTTGAGAGCACTGATCAGGGCGGCAGCTTTCGTTGATGGACTGTCTGTCTTCACATGGTTGGTTTTCTAATGAGAACGTGCCAGTCTCTCTCTCTCTCTCTCTCTCTCACACACACACTCACACTTGGCTGTAAGCATCCTTACATTCTAGCTAACCACAGGGAGAGAGAGAGCATTCCAAAAGTCCTCTCTTCCATTGCCAGATGCCTGAAACTCTAGCTCCACCCACTGAACAGTTCAAAGTGACTGGATCATTACATAATCGTCTGGACATAGGAGTTTTTCAAGTTTTACTCAATGCCTTTAGAAGTATCTCCAGAATGACCGACAACCCTTATTGTAAGCTAAAAAAGTGAGCTCTGTTCTAAAACCTAGTGAGATGCCTACATTCTATAAACGTACATGAAAAATATCTGACGCTTGCTACATTTCTGCAAAAGCATACCTGTACAGGCATTTCACTGCAGTTTCCAGCTGAAATTTACTTTAGAGGCAGTAAAAGACCAACAAACTGTGTTCCTTTTTATACAAATTATGATTACAGAGGCAGATTATTGATTAACACAATAATATTTTATAACTTTTATAATTTTGGTATACTTTTACCACAGTGCATGATTTATTAATTGCAACATTTTGACATAAGCAGCACATAAGCAGCTCCATATATATGGATTTTCTAACATAGTAAACTTGCTTGGTAGCTCACCTAGTACAGCATCACATTTACCATGCAGAGAGCTCAGGTACGAGTCCTGTCGAACATGAGTCACGACACTCAACAAAAGAGCTGAAAACCTTGTAGAAGGAAGCTAGCGCAGCATCAAAAAATGGGTTTTTACTTTTATTTTTCAAGACACTGCTATTTAATAAACCTGCATCAGCAATGGAGAAAAAAAGTGTTGTAGTGCCTCTAGTGGACGTATCTCCTGAACAGTGTAGCAAAACGTACCTGAAGCTACTTATTTCAGGTTTTGTAGAAATGTATCCAGAGTTATATATTTCTAATGAGCCTGAGTTACGTGAACGCCTGCCTTCTGAGTCGGCACATGTCACATATCAATGTTGCTAAGCTAACAACATGAAAAATAAGCAATCAAATACACATCACATAATTATTGTGCTACAAAATATTACAATTTATTTTTTTTAAACAATACTTTACAATATATTCATAAAGTACTGTATACATGTGTAATGCTTTTCAGAATTGCCATCTTTGTTAAGGATGAGTGCAGTGCTACCTTAAATTTTCCCTAAATCAAGGAGGGATGTTTGATACATCTTGCCTATCTTACACCATGTTCCTGTGATGCTTTAAGATGGTGCATATTTATTCAGCTCAGTGAGTTATGGAATAGAGCAATGCAGTCTGGTTCAAAAGAATCTATCGAATCAATCAAACTCGCTGTTTGACAGAAAGGTTTTCTGAATTCTTTTCTCTCAGATTTTCCCTAGCATGTCCTCTCATGCTCTGCCTTATATTGCTTTATCCTTCAGTTTCATTCTCTTTTCTCCACTTTCTGTCCCTGCTCTCCCATTGGCTGGTAGCGCATAGTGGGCAAAGTGTCTCTGATAGCGTCTGCTAGAGCTGACTCTCTGGTTACCCTCTATGAAAATGATCATAGGCCCCAGGCAAGCAGCTCTGACACTCCGGTAAGCCACAGATCAGCTGGTCAATTGTTTTTAATCTGAAAACAAATATGAATTAATCTAGGAATTTTATGAACTCATCCTGTGTAGTTCGGTGCATTTCATCATTTACTGACCTTAATGTTGTTACAAACCTGTATGACTATCTTACTTCCCTGAAAGACAGCAAAATGTCCAAGCTTCTTCTTCTTTAATCAAAAGCGTATTGGGATTGGGACTATCAAGCTCCAAAAAATGTTACCGTGGTTGCTCATGTAAATTGAGAAAATTAGATTAAATCTCTCATAGAGGTTTATATACTGTTCAGTAATGCTTTCAAAAAATGGTGAGGAACTATATGAAAAATGCAACACCATTTCAAATGACCTGCATTTTGCATGTTTAATTAAGTCATTATGGGACATCCATATTATCTCAAAAATAAATATGATTTAAAAATGTAGCATTTTTCATACAGTTTTGTATAAAAACTGAAATTGCTTGTGTGTTTTTACTTCTGAAATGACTTCTGGCTCATTTATAATAGTGAAAAGTCAAGCACACTGCATTGTGGGATACAGTACCCAGTACTGTTTGAATATATACTGCATAATTTTGGCAATTGCAGTAGATCATACAGATATTGCAGTAGGTTTCAGCATGCTTAATCGACACAATCTTGACCAGTTTTTTTTTCTTCCTTAAAGCCTTCCTTAAAAAGAGAATTTCCTCAGAGTCTGGGAGATGTGTGTCATGCGTGTAAGAAACGAGTGTTTGTAGTGGAGAGGCTCAGCGCGGAGGGATTCCACTTCCACAGGGAGTGTTTCCGCTGTCATACCTGCAGAGCTCCACTGCGCCAGGGAGGACATTCCTTCGATTCAGAGGAAGGTACTGTGAAAGGCCTGTAATGCATTCTCACTGTTTCTCATTTAATAGTTCACCTTAAAACGAGTGTTAAAGGCAGGGTATGTGATTTTTCAAAAACACTTTAGAAAACTTCATTTACTCGCCCTCATATTGCTCAAAACCGGAATGGAGAATGGCGGGAATGGAGCTGTCAAGCTCTAAAAAAAATCACCATGAAAGTAGTCCTACAGGTACTCCTATGACTATATCTAAGTGTTCTAAAACCATATGATAACTTTGTATAACCAACAGACCAAAATAAGCAGTTTTTAAATTGAAAATCTTTAAAATTTTTGTGTAAACTGCTGTATCCCATTAAAGGGATAGTTCACCAAATATGAAAATTCTGTCAGTAATTACTCACCCTCATGTTGTTCCAAATCTGTAAGACCTTCATCTTCGGAACACAAGTTAAGATATTTTTGATGATACCACAACGCAGGAGCACCTCGCGCATACATGGTACTGTTGTAAATTTGTGTCGAAGACTGACAGAGAAGAGAAGAAATTGTTGAATAAAGTCATTATTTTTGGGGGGGAGGGAGGCTTGCGCACAAAAGTATTGTCATAGCTTCATAAAATTAAGGTTGAACCCCTGATGTCACGTGGACTATTTTAACAATGTCTTGAACATGTCAGTTGCGTTGCTGTGTATGCAGGGTCAGAAAGCTCTCAGATTTCATCAAAAATATCTTAATTTGTGTTCTGAAGATGAACAAAGGTCTTACAGGTTTGGAACGACACGAGGGCGAGCAATTAATAACAGAATTTTCATTTTTGTGTGAACTGTCCCTTTAAATTTCAGGCTATTTCTTACAATGCAAAAAGAGGTCAGCTTTTTGTGATAGCGACCCAAGCGATCACAAGGAGAATCATACCAAGACTGACAGTAGTTTATATTTTTAGTTTTCATTACACGGCAAATATAATCATATACACATAAGATTACAGTTTGAAAGATGCAGGCATTGTTTCTAAATGTCCGAATTCAAGATGAGGTGTCAATTTAATAAACGCTGCTCACACTAAAGTCACTTTCAAACCAAGCAGCTTTCTGTTGGTTAAGATTCCAGATATAATCTGCATGGAGAACTTTTCCGTCCTCAAGCCAAACTCCAGAATGCTTGGATTCCTATTGAAATGACTTGAGTTCGCCCACAATATTTCACAGAGGAGCAGTAAATGTGACCACACCTTTATACTAATGCTTTCTTTTGCTCCTGTAGGAAAGTTGTACTGCAAACTCCACTTTGCTCAACGGAAACCCTTAGTCAAGAATGGGAGGACACCAATTCTACGCACGGTAAAAACTCCTTTATGCTTCATTTCTTTTTTTAATAATTCATCAGTAATTGTCTTACAGCACACCCATCTTAATATTGATTCTTCAGACGTGTAATGATGAATCCCATGACGGCTCCAGCTGGAGTCCAGAGGGACGTGAGCATCGTCTCCAGGATGAGTCTCCAGGTATCCTGTCCTCACTGAAGAGAAGCCTGCGCTGGCCGCTGCACGTGTGTGCTGTGCCTCGCCGTGTGTTTAACTGGCTGCATGGTAAAGCATGGGCCACAGGAGTCCACCTGCGGGATAATGCAGAGGATTACGCCTTCCTGTACGAACTTCTCAGTGTGAGTCTGCCTCTGCTCGCCGTTCTCCATGAACAGCTCGTCCAAATGTACGCAGAGGCCGAGCCGCTCAATCTACAGCCTCTACAGCGCTGGCTGGAAGAGCACATGGGCCACTGGGTCTTAATGTGAGAGAAACATTGCCAGGACCCTTTAAAAGGGTTAATATGAATGGAACGATCTGAAATGTCCTACGTTTTCAGAGAGTAGAAATGAAATGGCCTGGTTTGGTTGCGCACAAATTACCAAAGCCTTTCTCAGTTACGAAGGTTTGCGTAAAGAGAAAAAAGTGTCAAACACGGAGTGAACTTTAAGCACTTTAATGAGTGAGCTGCCTTCATATGCACGAGTAAGAGTGACGTTCTGCTTTTAGTTATTAATGAACGTTCTTTATTGAGACTGCAAGTTTACAAAACCTGACCGATCAAGCTGCAAACATGTCTGGTCTGCTCTGTTAACCGTTCACGAACATGGAAGTCACATTCTTCTCGCACGTTTACATTTCTTATGAAAAACATACAGCGCGGCTGTTAAAAGGAATGTTCCGGGTTCAACGCAAGCTAATCTATTGACAGCATCTGTGAAAATGTTGTCGACTATCACAGAAAATAACAGCATCTTATCCTTCATACTGTTAAAACAAACAAGAATTACAATGGAAGTCTGTGCATGGGACAAGGCATTCCAGAGGGTTTATCTGTTATCTGAGCTGTAACATTGTCAAACATGACATTTTTAGTGGTGTAACACACTAGTGACTATGTGTTGTCTTGTGGCTGGACTTTCAAAACAGTGTGAGCATTTTGTATTTTAACATTTAATCCTGTGTATTGTCTTGTCTCATTCCTCCAAATGCCTCATTCATTCAATCATTGTCCTGTATACTTCCATTGAAAGAGCATTACTGTAAATGTGATTTGAGCAGTTTTTTCAGTTATTTCCTTTGTTAACAGATGCTGTCCATAGAGTTCATCTTAAAGTTTAACTTTAAAGGTGCTGTATGTTGGATTGACACCGAGAGGTTGAACTAGGTATTGCAGTCCAAATTCAAAATATTGGAGTGAGTTTTTTTTCACCCGGCCCCTCCTCCTCAGACCTGACAAACACAGGTTGCCAGATTGACACCACCAAGACGACACCAACAGGAACGAGCGCGCTTGATGATGAATGAAATTAAATAGCTGTATTTTCCGTCAACTGGCTACCCGGGGTGCCGAAATACAATTGGGTAAACTGGCAGTGGGCGGGTTTCACAAACCAAAACAGAGACCGACATTCCGGCCCGGAACGCACATTTTCAAAAGAGAATAACTTACTGTAGCATTGTTTTTCAGATAAACAAGTATGTTAACTTAACATGTTTCTTAAATATCTGCAAACATATGATGGTATTTTTATGCTTTAGTGGAGTCAAAAGCTTACATACAGCACCTTTAAGCTATAAAGACTATGTTCTTACATGTGTGCTTTATATGTGACTAGGGATGCACAGATTTGGACACTTTAATGTTTCAGATCATCAAGCAAATTTAAATATTAGTAAAAGATAACACAAGTGAACACAACATGCCGTTTTTAAATTAAGGTTTTTATTATTATGGGAAAACAAAATCCCAAACTACATGGCCCTGTGTGAAAAAGTGGTTGCCCCCTAAACCTAATAACTGGTTGGGCCACCCTTAGCAGCAACAACTGCAATCAAGCGTTTGCGTTAACTTGCAATGAGTCTGTTACAGCGCTGTGGAGGAATTTTGGTCCATCCCTCTATGTAACAAAAGTTCTCAGGCTTATTTGTAGAGTTCTCATGAACAGTCCCAAATGCACATTCATTTAATCTGTTTACTCCTGTACACTCTAAAAAACAACCCAACCGCTGGGTCAAAACAAGCCAATAGCTGGGTTTGTCCCTTTTTAACCCAGCATTTTTTAGAGTGTAGTCTCAATCATACACCAGTTTTGTGTCACACTTACAAATCGTGACAGAAACACTACTTTGGCAGTCTTGTGAACGTCCTCTCATTTGATTCACTGGACTATTACTGCGGTTTCTTTTGATGTCATTTGCATCTGTGAGTGACTATGCATCATTTTTATAATCTCTAATAACAGCCTAATTATCAAATCCATAGTTTAAGGAAAGATGCCACGGGTGAATATGGTCCACTTGATTAATCACAGTACATTGACATCTTTTTTTGTATGAAGTTTTCTGAAATGCTGTTCAAATATGCAAATAATGCATTATCTAATTAATATGCACTAATTTGTACAAACATCCAAAGCATAAATCTGGACATTGATATTGAAGCCAGGTTCGAAATACTTTTTTCTCCCCATTTTAATTATTTTATTTTATTCAAGGTCAAGGTTTTTTACAGAGAAAAAAAAATCACCATGTTTTAGGATTAAAATGTTGTATACTGTAAAAAATTGTATATATTGTACCTCTCTGTAAAAACCTGAGAAATGATGAAATGCATGAGAAAAAAAATTATTTTAAGAAAAATGGTCTTTAAAGATATGTATTGTAATTAAAATTCACAAATGCAAATAGATGTGTAATTAAAAAATAAATAAATAAATAAACTTAAAAGTGTGTTTTGATGCTTTCAAGAAGTCAATGGTTTTACCTGTGGTGTCTTAATAATATGATATGGTCACTGGTCATGCATTCATATTTCTTTAAGATCATTATTAAATTCACATACTTTTTTAATATATTCACAGATCGCTTTCTTACTATGGTAAAAAATAATGTAAACATCACAATCCTGCATCCCTAAATCCAACTCCAGAGTGAACTCTAAAATTCTTTCCATTACCAGACTCAAGTGGGTGAGAGAAAAAAAAGCTTTCAAGACCTGTAAGTGCTGATAAGTGTTCAGAGTGACCCTTGACGAGACTTTCTTTCTGGCTGGACATTAGACAGATAGGGGTTTGAGGTCAAGGCCTACACACTGCATCACTTTCATGTGTGACAGTGTTCCTGCTTTCCAAAGCCTTCAGCACTGTGTAGTCTTCATCAGTGCATTATTATCTCACTCCATAGTTACAGTGTTGTGCTTCGGTGTGGATACTATCACAAAAAACACCAGTATGCTTCATATTTACATGAGTGCGTTTGTTCTTAAAAGGCAGAGCCAAAATACATTCTGACATCTGTTTTAATGTATTCAAACAACACTACACTTCACATCCCTGAAGCTTGTTAGTCACTAACTGCTGAAATATCACAGATTCGTATCCTGTTTAAGCAAATGCAAGTTTTCATTCAGTGATATCAAGATACACAAGGAAAGGTGGCTTGCATATTGCAAGTTCAGTTTAGTTTAATAATCTAATTAGATTATTCTGTTTAGAGTTTGGGATGATGGATCAGGGTATTTTCCATGGGTTATATTTGACTGATTTGCCAGGGAAGGAACAATATTTCCTGTTGTCATAAACACATGAATGAATAAATAAATGGATGAAAACATTCATACAGAAGCCTCATGAGCCATGAACGGGAGAGAGTAAATATGGCCTATTAACGCCCCCACATGGTTTAACAAGAGCAGAACAATTGCAGAGCCTAGAGTCACAGCATCTCAGACCGGAAGTTATGATGGGGATTTCTTTTTTATTTTAGTTTTTTACTACTGTCAGATTTTTTCTTTACATGAATGGCAGGACATTCACAATTGCAATCAAAATTAGCCCCCTTGACCTTCAAGACATTTTGCTGCCAAGAAAGTAGCACCTTTTATCGGACATGTTGTAAAACTGTTTGAAGTTTTTTGCTGTGTATTTTCCATTTGAAACATTTGTTGTTGCCTTATTTATGTTAAGCCATACTCTTGCAATAAAAGAAAGAGCAAAACCTCGTCATTTTTGCCTGTTTTTACATGCACATCTAGTCATTGTCTGTTACATACAGTACATGCATATGATATCCTTAAACACTTTTAAATAAGATTCATATTAGCGGTTGATCGATATGGGTATTTAATTCACTTAAAGTCCCCTTCAATACCACCTACTGTTTGGGTTTATCTGACAATTGTGAACTTTGAGTTCGCCTTGTTTTGATTTTTATTGGTGGAGCAGTCTGTAACTGGACTATTGTGTCTAAAACGTATGTTACTAAATATGAACTCTTTCTTTAACTTTTGTATAAGAGTAATCAAACTTGTGTTATCACCCATACAGTTTGAGATGGGCAATATTATAAATCTATTATCTGTGAGTGACTATGCATCATTTTTATAATCTCTAATAACAGCCTAATTATCAAATCCATAGTTTAAGGAAAGATGCCACGGGTGAATATGGTCCACTTGATTAATCACAGTACATTGACATCTTTTTTTGTATGAAGTTTTCTGAAATGCTGTTCAAATATGCAAATAATGCATTATCTAATTAATATGCACTAATTTGTACAAACATCCAAAGCATAAATCTGGACATTGATATTGAAGCCAGGTTCGAAATACTTTTTTCTCCCCATTTTAATTATTTTATTTTATTCAAGGTCAAGGTTTTTTACAGAGAAAAAAAAATCACCATGTTTTAGGATTAAAATGTTGTATACTGTAAAAAATTGTATATATTGTACCTCTCTGTAAAAACCTGAGAAATGATGCTCAATACCACCTACTGTTTGGGTTTAGCTGACAATTGTGAACTTTGAGTTCGCCTTGTTTTGATTTTTATTGGTGGAGCAGTCTGTAACTGGACTATTGTGTCTAAAACGTGTTACTAAATATGAACTCTTTCTTTAACTTTTGTATAAGAGTAATCAAACTTGTGTTATTAGGTTATCACCCATACAGTTTGAGATGGGCAATATTATAAATCTATTATCTGTGAGTGACTATGCATCATTTTTATAATCTCTAATAACAGCCTAATTATCAAATCCATAGTTTAAGGAAAGATGCCACGGGTGAATATGGTCCACTTGATTAATCACAGTACATTGACATCTTTTTTTGTATGAAGTTTTCTGAAATGCTGTTCAAATATGCAAATAATGCATTATCTAATTAATATGCACTAATTTGTACAAACATCCAAAGCATAAATCTGGACATTGATATTGAAGCCAGGTTCGAAATACTTTTTTCTCCCCATTTTAATTATTTTATTTTATTCAAGGTCAAGGTTTTTTACAGAGAAAAAAAAATCATTCAAGACATTTTGCTGCCAAGAACAAAAATTTATGAAAACAATTCAACAAAGGCATCAGTAAACTATTATAAAAAGTTTCTTAAAACACAGTTCAGATTCTGAGAATGTAAAGTTTATGACAAGTAAAGACAAAAAAACCTGAATTGGCTCTAGACATTCATGTACAAAATCATTCAACCCCTCAATTTTGTACATGCATTGGCTAAATGTACTGTAAGTGTAACTGCTCAAGCTAAGACATACATATAGGTGACTAATGGATACGATTAAAAAAATCAAATCCAACATTTGTAAATGATTATTCTGGGAGTGTAGGTCTATTCTGTTGCACATCATATTTTTATTACTTTTTTTTCTATTTCTGACTTTTGCGAACTTTACTTTAGTAGCTTGTAGTAGTAGCACTAGTAGTAGTAGTACACTCTAAAAAATGCTGGGTTAAATACAACCCAGTGCTGGGTAAAATAGGGACAAACCTGTTTTGACCCAGCGGTTGAGTTAAATGTTTAACCCAACCTTCTGGGTAGTAACCCAACCGCTGGGTCAAAACAGCCCAATTGCTGGGTTTGTCCCTATTTTACCCAGCACTGGGTTGTATTTAACCCAGCATTTTTAAGAGTGTAGTAGTAATAATAATAATAATAATTGTGTACCCAATGTTTTTCTTTTACATTTTAATTTGATCTTTCTCATTATATTTCCAAACTCTGGAATGGCCTTCCTGATAACGTTCAGGGTTCAAACACACTCTCTCTGTTTAAATCTAGATTAAAGACACATCTCTTTAGCCAAGCATCTTACCAATGTATCTCATAACCTTGTACTCCAGTTAAATCTGATCAAATGCACATTATCTTTTTTTTTTACTTGGATTGA